CGTAACGGGGGAGGGGGGGGGGGGTTGGATGCAAGGATGACTTCCTAAGACAGCTGATTGTGACATACACAGGACATTACATACACAATACATTATACATTACACAGGAGATGCCATATTGACAGGGTTAGATAGGAGAGCTGCGGACAGTGAACCGCAATCCTCCTGTCTCCCCTCAAAATCCCCCAGCAGAGAAGCTGCACGCTCCATGTTCAGTAGGTCCAGATACTCCCTCAGCCATGAGTCCCTAGTAAAGCAGGCTGGTTTGCGTTCCTTCCAGTTTAATAGGATGAGTCTTTTTGTGGCTAAACAGCCCAATGTCCAGAGCCGATCGGTAGTCCTTGCAAGATTGCCATCTGTCTTGAGACCCAGTAGACATGCAATGGGACATGTAGGGAAATTAACTTTTAAAGATTCAGACAATAAGGATATTACTTCTGACCAAAGTTTTTTTACCGCTGGGCATTCCCAGAGTAGGTGCAACAATGTACCTCGCTTGCCACATTCATGCCAGCATAAGTCTCTGTGTTTATTGTCCATCTTGGATTTTGTAACAGGGGTGATGTAAGCTCTATTGAGGATGTTGAACTGTATGATCCTGAATCTTACACATTTAGAAGAGAACATAGCTGACTGCCAAATGGAGTTCCATTGCAAAGCAGACAGAGAGATATTCAAGGCATGCTCCCAGGACAGTTGGACAGGAGAATAGGTATTCGGGGCAGCCCTAGATAATAATTTATAAATGTTAGAGACCACACCTGATGATATGATTGCTTTCTTGAGGCACTGGTCCTCTTCCATACATGAAGCAGGCATGGCTCCCTCCTTACATTTTGTACTAATAATAGATGCTAGTTGTGCATCTGATAGAAAAGATGAGCCTGAGAGACCATACTGATTTTTGAGTTTTGATGTAAGTCATGTAAAGGTTTGGATATTTGTTTTAAACTTCTGTGAATATTGTAAGTTTAAAAGGTGGATATTAATTCTAGTTTAATGTAAGTATTAAAAAGACTATTCATATTACCTTACGTTATTATTGGTGGTTAAAACACCATTGTTATATTTGAAGCTAATATGAAAGAGGGGGTGGTTAGACCTGGGAATCACAATGATGATTAATAACAAGGGCCCCTGCCTCAACAAACCAATCTAACCCCAACTCCAATTTGTGGAAATGGCGTCACACAAAACAAATGTAAAAAATACACGTTTAGTTGAAAGGGGAATGTTTATGGATTGTCTTCTGTTGGTTACGTTCTAAGTTCTACATAACTTCATTACAACCAGTGTTTATTGACAATGACCAGAACTTTGAGTAGCAGGAAAAGGGAGCCCTCAGTCCTGCTTCCAGAAAGGCTTTGAAGATTAAGTATTTCTTATCTCATGCTTATTTGGAAAGGTTTGGACTACTCTTCAAGTACTATTATAAATAAAGATTATTATTATTATTAGGATTGCGATTCTTGGTGAGGCAAAGTATGATCTACCAAATCTATCTGTTAAATCTGATATGGATTTTACAAACAGAAGACACAACAATTATTGATATTAATTTATTATATTTCTAATAACTGAAGACGTACCATGAACAGAGATTCAGAACAAAATAATGCTGCAGAGTTCACCATTGTAACAATTACAAACAACAAACAAATAATTGTATAAAAGCACACATTTTTAAAAGTTTATTTTGCTTCTAAACAAATAGAAACACAGATTACAGAAGCATAACAGGCGTCACCATTTAAAATAACCATCATTTAACTTGAATCAATAATCATTATATTTGATGAATGACAATATATACCATTTACATATTATTCATAATTCATGTTTTCTCATCATTAGTTTGTGTAATGTGAAACACAAATTGTATTTGATCATACCTGATAATACGTTATCACAAATGTGAGCTGCTGTCACATTACACATTGTGTATACAATATTAAGTATTAGGACCAAATAATTTCTAAAACATCATTTAACACAACATACATTGGTGGACCTGAAAGTATTTATTAACAATCAATAATGTTCGGTCAGTCTTGATGTCTTAGCGAATATAATTAACCATTTACGATATTATAACCATTAAGAGTTGCATCTTTATAAAAGCCATCCAAATATTGTTATGAAATACAATTCCATGAGGTTAACACATCATTTCGTATTTAGTATATTATATGTTCAAAAATGACCATAAATTAAAGCATTACTCAAATAAAAAGAGAAAAATCACAAATTATAGTTTCATTGTTTTCTACAAGTAAACTAAATATTAAACACAGTTTGATTAACTATTCATTTTTTCACAGTAACGTTAAGTTAGGTGTGGCCAATCCATGTATATGCTTACAAACACAGACAAGCACACTGCTTCTATATACATGCATGAATATTTAGTTTGGTTCTGTTCATTTGTATTGGAATTAAAATGATGGCAAAACCTTTTTATGCTGAAATAATTGTGACAGGAATTTTCGTATCTCTTTGGACTGAACCCCATAAATGATAGGGTTCAGGCTGCCGGGGATGATGTGGAATAAAATGGCAGCTAGTTTTCTGTAGTCTGAGTACTGAGGGAAGCGATGCAGGAGGATAACAAGCATTCCACTCAATAACATAATTAGATATACAGAAAGATGAGTGCTGCAGGTCTTCAGGGCTTTACTGTTCAAAGACTTGTTTTTATTCATCAGACAGACCACAGTGATCTTACTGTAGGTGATAACCATGCAGCCGATTGAAGATGTGAACAGCACTACAGTGAACGTGAGGCCGTAGACATTATTAATAAACACACTCTCACAGGACAGTTTGAACAGAGAGGCATTGTCACAAAAAGGATTTGTGATCATAGTCCTGCATCGGTTCAGGCGTATGGTCAGACCGAGCAGAATCCCGACCGTAACCAAGGCTACTCCCCAGGCAGAAACTGTCAGCTTGACCACCATCTTGTTTGTCATTATGGCAGCATAACGCAGGGGATTACAGATAGCCACATATCTGTCAAAAGCCATAATCATGAGCACAGTGTGAGCGGTGGTACCAAACATATGTGTAGTAAAAGCTTGCACCACACACTCTGGATAACTGATAAGGCGTTCAGAGGGAGGCCGCAGTATATCTATAAGCAAACGAGGAACCATGATAGAGTTTCCAAGAATATCATTAAAAGGCAGGTTGCAGAAAAGGAGATACATGGGCTGGTGAAGGTTCTTATCAATGAAAATCAGAATTACAATGCCAATGTTAGCTAACATAATAAAAAGGTACGAACAAAACAAAAACAAAAATACCGGGTAAAGGGACATTTTGGTGACCTTTAAGCCCTCCAGTTGGATGTAAAAGCTGTTGTAAGTGTAGTTTTCCATCAACCTGAATCAAAAAACACAAATGGGGGGATGCTGATTAATCACAAAAGTCATTTTAACACACGGTTTACATTTCTGCAAATGTAAACCGAGGATACATTGGAAATATATCAAAAGCAGGTCAGTAATACCTTAAATGTCTCTTTCCGTGCCTGTTGTAGACTGCTTCTCTCCAGCAAGTCTTCTGAGAGAAATGTGTCTCAATTTTAAAAGAGATGTACTGTCCTCCTGGGTGACGTAACGTCAACTCATCAAACTGGTAGCGATAGCAACCCCTGCCTAACTAATGGGTTTGATAGGGCTTGTTGTTGAGTTATTATCAGAGATTTTCTTGGAGTATTATAATAGAATACTTGGCATTTTTCCGCCTTGATTTGATTAATTTCATTGTTAAAAATGGTTTCATTGATATTAATGGTCACCCTTCGAGGTCAATGCCTAATCTTAACGGTACGAGGTCAATGACACACCTTCACAATTCAAGGTCAGTGTCCAACCTCAACCGTATGAAGCCATAAAACACGATGTCGCTGTAACTCCAATGGACATGGTGTATATCACCGGTGCATGCCTCAACAGCTCTACGCCAAATCCGAGATCTCACCATATGCAGTTTCCATGGCAACGCATCCATCGCCAAAAAAAACGATG